GTGTTATGCGCTGTAACGCGCGTCGAAAGCGCTACAATTACAACAGCGCTCCAAAGCTCAAGACGCGAACGCAACCGCAGACGGTCGGCGCCGATGGATGCTCGTCTGCGAACACTCGATCGATGGGCGCCGGCGCTTATGTTTCGAGAGTGTCTGCGGGACAAAGATAGCAGCTGATGTTACTTACGCATGCTGGTATTGATAGGCACTGGCCATCTGCGGCTGCGTCTGTAGCTTCAAGACGGTCTTGTAACTGTGGCGTGTCCACGCGCGTTACAGCGCATTAAAGCGCGCAAAAGCGCGTTACAGCACATCGATGCGCGTCATCGCGAAGCCTGAACGCTGCCTAAATCAGTACATGCAGGATACTGTAATTGAGCGAGTACGCGTTATGCGTTCAAACTCCACGATGACGCTCTACCATTGCAACAGACGGGAATGCACCGTAGACGATATAGATCGGAGCCGATCGTTAATGCTTGTGAGAGTACTAGACACTGGAAGGTTCACGTTGCCCAATCGCCCTATCTGGCGTCGGTCGACGCCGCCGCTAGTATTTTGAAAGACTATGGAAGAACAGGTAGCGGGTCGACAAGCCTCATTGCGATGTCTAATTGCCCCCTCAGTGCAAATGAGTCTCAAATCAATAGTGGATCGATCGCGTAAACAGGAACTCCTCTTTGGAATCACTAGGTGTACACCCGATTCGATATCGAGCAGAAGGCTGGAAAATCATATTGAAGGGCTGTGTTGACTAAGGTGACCCCAGTTCCGCTTAATTTACGATTAGCTATTCCATAGAAGCCCATCATACGAGAATGAGCGAGGGAAAATTGGTAACCAGGGATGAGCTCCTATAACCTTCAATGTTCAGCAAATGAAAACCTACACGAACCTTTAGATTTTGATTAGGTCCAAATCCCCCGGAACGCTTCAAGAAGTGAACCATTCGACAGTAATCTATCACAGCCCCATCTTGATCCACCAGCACTCCAAACGAAGCTTCGCTAAAATCCGTAGGATACGCGATTGCCATCACTCGTACTTCTCCCTAAAATCGAGACAGCTGAACACTAATATTTACTTATGTTACATGAAATATTACTACTTTACGCGAAAAAAGTAGAAAATATGTAAAAAAAAAGGTAAATCTCGAGAAATATCGGCTAATATACGGAGCAAACACTTATACGCAATGAACATCAATGTTAATAATGAGGAAGGGAAGTCCGCTTTTCGCACAACTTAAGAAAGCACGATAATAATAATAAAAAAGAAATAAAAATACGAAAGCTAAGGGTGAGTAACTGATGCAGATTTTTGGAAAAGGAGCAGCCTACCCTGACAAATGGAATATCAGGGCTTTAGTGACTAACCTGACGAGCAACATCTTCGTCTTCATCTTCCAGTTGTTCCTCTGTAGGCTGGAATGCTGCTGGTTCCAACCGTGTGTACATAGCCTTAGCACACTTCTGAATGTGACACCCATCATGAAAATGAACGTCAACTCCCAAACATAACACTGACCAAAAGAACGCTTTCTTTTGCCTCATCTAGCAGTTTTTCCTCGAGTTCTTTCTCGAGAAAAGGAAGAACCATTTCATCGATAGCCATTCTCGTAGCTTTCTCACGTATTGAATTCCATTCTTCGACAATTTCGGAGTATTCGTCCTAGAGATGATGAGGAACGTAGGAGTGAACGAAAAAGGGAATGATGATTCCAGCAAGATGAGCTACAGTAGCACCTACCACTCTGAATGGCTGTTCCGCAAGAAGAGCATCCGATAAACTTCTCACGACCATGGAATCGTCCACATCCTTCTCGAACATGAACTTGACTTCCAAGTGTTCTGCTACTTTCGCTTGATGATAATATAAAAATTCCTCTTCCTCCAACATGGATACTGGTTTGCCTTTCACATATCTGGGAACGATGACAGCCGTTTTAAACTTACCGGTAATACTAACAACGAGCACTATTCTACTGTTTTTCTTTACCTCATCTTCCAAACGGGGCTTGTTTCGTCTAGATGTTCGCGACCTTTTTGTGTTGGATGAACATAAAGTTTTCACATTTGAACGGTACACCGATCGAATACGCTCCCGCGCCTTCAATGAAATCGAATTCAATTCAACTGATGCATAAAATTGAAAAAAGCAACGAAATAAAAAAATAATTAAAAAGAGTGAGTGAAACTCACAATCGGCTCTCGACTGAGTTCACGAGCCATCATATAAATAGCTCCCGCTATGACAGTTTCAGGAGTAGGGAACGAAGAGCTTGTGTAATCTGCTGCTGCCACTTTAGGAGCAACCTTAAACGACTTTGGTCACTCTCAAAGCGAAGTTTCTTTCATGGTTTTCTGGTGAACCAGAACATCCTATCTTAAGTGGAGTCGAAATCAAGAAAAATCATATTCATGGAGCGATTACCGGGTCTTGCTCAACATCATGCTTCTTCCAATCCAGATTCTCTGCAAGCTGTCGAGCCGTGATACCAAATCTGGCCACCATTTCACCAATACCATTATCCACACATAACTGCAAAACAATTCATTAAATGCGTAGAAATATAAAAATGCATAAATTCAATGACTGTAAGGAGCATAAGCTTCACGCGCTTTTTTTCACTTTCTTGCGTTTTTCACGCTTTTCAGCAATACAATCTGAAACACTGTGAGGGACCACAGAAATTAGAGGAAGGTGTCCAGTTCACATATGAAAGCACACCTGGGACTGAGTAGAACGACATCCCTTTGAGCCGATTCATTACCAGTCGGGTGATTCAGAAGGAGGCAGCAGCAGCATACATATACTATTAGCTTTTAAGATACTACCAGGTGGAGCAACGGTTAAATCGAATGAATTCTTCACTTTAATTACGTCTAGGACTAGACGAAGATCAGGGCTCTGTATCGAGAATCCAGGTCGGGTCGAAATTCTTTGCGATCAGAGTTCTACACCTATTGAACAAAATCTTTGGCGAAGATATTTTTCAATTGTCACCTGGAGCCTTTCGTATAAGGGCCACAGACTAGGTAATTCATAGGTCTCCTAAGTTCCCGCTTCTACAGGATTGTTTGTACTTCAATTGATGTGCTTCGTGTGATTGTTTTTTTCAGTCGGTTTCAAGAGCGATGGACCTCACCTGCGACAAGTCACCACTAGTTGTTTTCTTCCCGAATCGACCACCAGCCTACCGTCGTTGGCAGAGAAAGGCGGCCAGACACGGGTTCATTCCGCCCTCCCAACACCACCCCGACCAACTGCGACGTCCCATACTATACCTCATTCCAAAACAAGGAGACCCTTGGAATTTACAGGTACCTAAGCGTCAAAAAATAAATAAAATGTAGGGACCTTATATCAAGCAAGGGTGCTGAGGAGAAAAAAGACGAAACCAACAGCAAGCTGCTTGCCGAACTCTTCGAGCTGGGGACCACTCTTACGGATGGTGTCAACCTTCACCTAAATTACAGTGGACTCACCACTGGAGGTAAGATTCGTGCATTTTATCACCTGTGAGATACGCCGAATCCCTTGCTCATGCAGTCGTTGGAAATGTGATCCACACGCGTGATGCGGACCATACAGAGCGATTTACCTCCGTCACACCAGGGCGGGTTTATCTTTTTTGGTCAAGCCAGCACTCAGTCCCGAATATCGCTCGCTATTCAATGGGCCGGAGGCATGCCACGAAACGGCAACCTGTGCTGCTCGCTGCTAGTCACACAAAAAAGCTACGCATCATAAAAATTGATTGCACGGGAGTAAAGCGACAAAGTCCACCCTCAAACAGAGTACCAAAAAGCACGATTCGAAAAATTCACCTGATACCGATCGTTTCGGGTGCTTTGTCGAAATCTAGTCCCATGGACGTTGGTGCCGTCACCTCCCTCATCGATATCCTGATTTACAGCAACAATTTGTGGAAATATGGAAAAAAAACAAAATGTGGAATAGTTATATCAAATGGAACTGGATAAGAACCCCACTTTCTGTGCCGCTTCCCAGTCAAGCATACGGCCGACCTCAGAACCGTAGTAAACGTGAAACTGTGCCGATAGATCGCCCAGTGCTTCGACGGTGTCCACGTTTTGAACCCTAAAGTAAGTGATTTACCAGACGCTAATAAGAGAACAGAATCAGGGATTCGCTTACTCTATGATGTCATCATCTGAAACCACACGACGATAGTTCTGTAGCGACTCCGTTTGATAATACTGCATTCGCTTCATCAAGTCAACAAGCTGAGCGAACAAAATGTGATAAAGAAGAAGACAACAAGAAAATGGAACCGTAAGAAAAAAAAGTTTAAAGAACTGCGCATAACAAACAAACCTTCTTCTTGCGATTCTGGAGATGGCACCACTTTTCATCCCATTCATAAACCTTCCAAAGATCGTTTATTGATAGCACATTGCTAACTAATTCTTTACGATAGAACGCTATGAATGGAACCTGAATCGGGAAGCCTTTACCTGAACTTATAAACAAACTTGGGATTGTTGTTACTAGTCGGAATATTACCTCGAAAAGCTGGTTCCGCATAAACTTTAAGGCTTCCTTGATAGTTTCTCTCGCTTCATCTTCACACTGTGATCGATCGTCGCCGTGAAAGTCCGTCACGAAAGCGAGAACCGTCGATTTCTGTGAAAAAGGCAAAGTTCAACAAAAGAGACCGCTTTCATTTGATGAGATAGTATGATTTTTATACTCAGGCCAGTTTAAGTGAAACTTCTCTGACCTAAGGTGTAGATAGCACGCACTGCCCATGGTAGGTTCCACCCCTATCTCGCGGAACATGAGCGGGCGCTACCGAGGACGAAAATTCACAAAACGATTCCAGAACAGTCCCGACATCGGGACAAAACAGTGAAGGCCATCAGCATGAGGAGATATATACACTGTAGTTCGCTGCGGACGGTTGGGCGTGTCAGGCAGTATGAGTGTGTCACCCCGTTGAAGCCGTTCTCTGCCTTCTTGTTGAAGCGCGCATGACAAAAAGTAGTAGAAAAAATACGAACGATATAACAGTCATATCACTTGCTCGCTTTAACAACTGGTGGAGAACGGGTTTGGCACCGCGCCAAACTCATCCCGCCTGACACGCCCAACCGTCCGCAGCGAACTACACTATAGTTCGAATAAAACGGCAGAAATTTGTAATGTTCCAAAAAGTTTCTTTGGTAAAGCGCTCGATGATTCGATCGACCCACTGTTCGAAATGTCATGAGAACACCACTGCACATTCACCCTCAGCTGAAAATGCCAGGAAGGATACCCACTTCACTCGCAGAAGAAGGATCGCCCGTAAAAATTTGTGTGAACTCATACCAGCACACCGGGCAAGGAAGGATAGGAACGACATGGTACCCGATGAGAATATTCCAATATCACTCTAAGGCAGGCGTTCCTAACAGACGGGCATCCGCGGCATCCGTGGCCTCCGCGGAGGCCGCGGCCAGGCGCGAAGCGTATGCGTCGCGGCCTCTTGATGGGGACGCTGGAACGCAATCAATACCTTGAAAAATGGGTTTCAGCTGATCTGGTTCAACTGGTCCCAACAAATGGGAACTCAACTGCAGCAAAATTTCGCCCTTGGGGTGTCCCTTTTTAACACATTGGCGACAAGGCGCCATTTCGCGTGTCTGCCGCGTGGGACAAAGCAGTTTTTCCCTATTTTCGAAGAATGCGCATAAATGCTAGGGCGTTTATACGCCAAAAAATTGAAGAATGGTCAGAAATTATTGCAGAAGCTGGTAAGTGGCTTTCGCTATTTCGTTTACTTTCAGATAAACCCTAAAAATTTCCATGGAAATTATGCTCGCCTCCATCAGGTGGAGCGCGGGAAAAAGGTCGCAAAAAGGAATATTTTCGCGCCAGAGGTGGTAAATTGAATTCGATTCAGATGTGCTATTGTTGAAAGTTACCTTATCACATTAGCTATCTGCATGTGGAATTTCCAAATGTGTCTTTTTTGTGTCTTCAATTACAGCATGATTATCAAGTTCCGAATAAGTTTCGGCGTCCCAACCAAGAGGCCGCGACGCGTACGCTTTCGCGCTTGGCCCTCGCGGCCTCCTGCGATTTCCAAATCGATACGTATACTTTGCTTGCTCTGAAAATTCCGCAGAGGCCACGGATGCCGCGGAGGCCGCGGAGGCTGCGGAGGCCACGGCCTCCGCGGCCTCTGCGGAATTTTCCAAATCGATACGTATACTTTGCTTGCTCTGAAAATTCCGCAGAGGCCACGGATGCCGCGGATGCCGTCTGTATGAACGCGGCCTAATGCCGCTGTGGCAAGGTATGGCTGAACATGACAATAAATGGTTGAGATATAGTTTTAATGAAACGAGTTCTTGTGTAATGGGTCAGGAATTTAGCGCATATTATCTATCCAAGGCACGCTTTTGTGCAAGCTGAAGCTGAAAAAAAAAACTCTTGGGCTTTCAATCACTTCTGGTATGAAACTGCAAACTTTGGAGGAGTAAGCATGGAGCCTTGGTTTGTAAATAGTGCAATCTCCCTCTCACTCGAACAGTCCCGATGCGGTGGTTGCTAAGTCGAACTGATTCAGTGGCTGCTCGTTACATTGAAGCTGAAGCCTCGACAACGAGCTAGACGCTTTGGCTTACTTGCCAGTAAATGGCTCGCAGCAGAGGAAATTTCAACAGTCCGCTGCACGAGTTTTCATCCCACGCCACCGAAAGATCTACGCATAAGCTGTACCTAAACATTGACGGCTTCTAGCAGATCGTCGGTCCTTTCTAGTTTACCGTGGAGACCTACCGCTTAGGGCCCACACCGGCACATGCTACTCGATTGCAACTGACGGCCGTGCTAGCTGGCCTTCGATGAGTCCGTACCATTACGATCACACATCACTTGCTATCGTCGCCCATCGATTCATTCACAAGAATGATCCCGCCCCAAAGGTAATCATGATGAAACCACTAAAAGTACCTGTGTAGAAATAGAGGCAGAGCAGAAGGCATGGTAATAAATCCATTTCGACTCAAGTTCCAGCTCCATGTCATCGGCTTCCGTTACAGGTGTACGTCGTAATTGGAACCTGAAGAATCTCAATACTATCCCAATACAATGCCGAAACTACACAACACCACCTTTCTGGCTTGTCTTCTAACTGTATTTTCTTATCGAGAGGTGCCATGAAGCCACGCTCGAGTTCGGATGGCTCCATGGTGTCCAGCAGGGTACTGCTCTTCTCTTTTGCCCGTACTCGCCGTACCTAAATAAGCATAAAAGAATAGACTCCAGAAAGATGACAGAAATATTAATTCAGTTACTCTTGCTTCTCCTTCGCCCTCATCGTCCATCAGATCTTCTTGCTCTTCTTCCTCGTCGTCCACGGGTTCTTCATCTTCGTCGTAGAACTCATCAAAATTGAAATCCTCAACACCAAATACGTCTCGCGCTTCATCCAACGCACTGGAAGTTTTTCAGTGAGAGGATCTCATGAATGAATTAATGAAGCAAGGCTGAACACATGAGCAGAAGACACCACTGTTCTTTCTAACTCTTTTTTGAAAAGTCACAAAATAAGAAATCTATTCAGTTTAAAAGTTGTGGCGTACCCCTCTGGCATATTTCCATCTCTCCTCCTGTGATGCCTGTGGGTGTGGCGGCCTCCGTCTTCGTTAACGATGAAGTTGTCCTCTGCAAGAGCTCACTTTGAATAGTTTGAACATTATTCTTTTCGAATATAATTCAGCGCTCATCTTGGATGTCTCCTCATTGCTGACGTTAGGAGGTACGCTTCACAAAACTGGCATGAATTAAGGCAACTGTGCCATTTAGAAAACTGCAGCTTTTGCTCAAGACGCAGTACACGAATACCAGGTAGGTAGCCGTTATCCCCCTCATGAAGTGAGCAGGCTCCTAGCTGTATGGGGTGAGCCGCTCTCTTTACGTGAAATTGTGGGCAAAGGCGCTAGGAGCTTGATGTAAGGTGCTTCACACCCTAGGTGAGGATTTCCCGTCTACCTTGCAATCTCTACTAATTTCGAAGTAAACGATGAGGAAGGAAATGACAGAGACCTCAACGTGCGGGGTAACAAAGGAAAATGACGTCAACAGAAAAAAACTCATTCCATAAGGAGGCCTGATTATCGTTAGCTCGCACAATGCTCGAAATTAAGGGGGTCTCATTCGAGACCTATTTGATGTTGAGAGCTAAGCTTTTTACAAGACTTTTTTCTATTTTCCCCCGCAATGGATACACCACCTCACTCGAGAGAACCCTTATGTTCGTCTGACCACTAGTGCTTTTTGCAAGAAAAATTATCCGAAATGAAAAACAACTGGACTTAGTTGTAAAATATCAATATGGGATATTGGAGGATATGTTCTAATTTTCTCAAGAAGCACCAACTTAAGTATCTGCTTCAAATTCAAAAGACCACTACCAGTATCTTTATCTACGAACAACCATGTCAGCCAAGCAGAAAGCAAGAAGTTTTCACGAGCTCATAGACGAGTGGCGAGAAGACTTAAGAATAAAAGTCGGTTAAACGCTAGTAGATCAAAAGAAGCTGCGAATGCAAAAAATAAAAAACTCTCATCATAAGCACTCTGCTTCAAGTTTCCTTCTCCAAGGGAGGCTCTTTCTTTCCTTGGGAGAAGAAACGTTCTTTCTGTTTGCTTCTAAGTACGGCCAACCCAAACGAGTAATCATCACTTAGAACGCCAATGAACATCATTGAGAGCTTGCGTCAGTCATGGCATGAGTCATGTTCCAACAGTGATAAAGTCATGCAGCGGAGAATTGGAATCGGTACCAAGGGAGGGTAACAAAGTGGCCTACGCGGTGTCCGATCTCACAAACTCCAGAGCTCGTCTCGCGACACGTGTGCAGATCAGCATTTTTTGCGTTGTGCAGACTACAGAAGGCAAGAAAATTCAGTGCAACACATTCTCCCACAATATGTCTTTACCTTTGTCTATATCAATCGCCCAGAACGGTGGAGCAGAATACCCTACGAGGTGAGTTCGTCTTAATAAGTCAGCAGCTTCCAGTCAATCGGAAATCTGCGTCAGCGAACTAACATAATTCCCCCCCCTTTTGATGGGTTCTAAACTCGTGCGAACATCATGGGTCACGTGCGGCATATTTGAGGGGTACCCCCCTGTTTTTGCTATTTTCTTCCACAGATTGTTATCGATAGCACTCTCGGTACATATGATGAGTCATTAATCATCATTTCTCAGTGCCTCTGAGAATCAGGTCCTCAAAGCGATAGAACAAAGAAGGTGCGCTAGATCCATCGAAGAAGTGTTTGAGAACAGAGGCTTGAGGCATCATGCTTAGAATTGAAGCAATTGTAGACCGCTTTCTGAGCTTGGCGACATGAGAAATACAAGAAATGGAAGAATTGCCGGAATTGTCGGAAATGACCAACCAATGATACATATCCAGTTGAAGAAATGCAGAAAATGCCAAAACTGCAGAAGTGCGAAAAGTGCAGAAAATGCAGAAAGTGGTTGGAAAATTGAGTACATTATAGGTGATTTCGTCATTTCTGCAACGTTCGCGCACTTCTGCCGTTTCGCATTTCTTCAAATCGATATGTCATAAATATAGTTCGTCATTTCCGCAGATTCCGCATTTCTGCACTTCTTCATGGTCGCAAGCTATGAACGCGGCCTCATATCCCGAAAGTCAAGTGTTATGCATCATGGACATCATATCAATGAACCAGGTTTTACACCAATCAATTCAGCAGCAGTAGAGTTGGAGTCATCTCCACTGATGAACATTTGCCAAACAGAACGAGTGGAAATGTATACTGACCGCTTTGCTCTGAGTCTGAGTAATGATCCCTTTCCGAACCCTCATCGCTGCGTTCATCTCGAGGACTGGAAGGGCCCTCACCGTCATCTCCCTGCAACGGTTGGAAATTCTAAAAAAAGAAATTGGAAACAGCGACGGGATTAATGACGATGATTGCAGAACTGAATTGAATGCACTTCAGATGTAATTGAAGTGGCTTATCTACGGCGAACATCTGGCCTAAAACATTGAATAATTAGATCAAGCGGTTTAACGAACTTCTCCAAAAAGTTTCTTTTGTATAGCTGTACGATCATCGACGTCTTCATCCGAATCATCAGGTTGGATGATACGCTGTTTCTTCTCTTTCCTGTTTCCAAGGTTTTCCTAAAGCGTTCGATTAAAATAAAAAAAGCATCACAATAAATGACAAGGCCATCATACTTGAATAAGATCGATATCGTCGTCGTCCAATTCGTCTTCTTCGTCTTCCAGCTTCTCTGACTTTTCAGATTTATCGTCATCAACGTCCTGAATTTGCAACCATAAAAAGGAAATTTCAAAGAAATAAACGTTCAAGGACGAATCTGAAAAAAAACATACGATTGCTGGCCAGAGAACTGCTTCAAAAAATTGAAAAAAAATAATGAAAAAGTAAAGAAATGAAAAATTCTACAGGTGACCTCTTAATGAACGCAAAGCAATCACTTCATGCAGTTGGAAAGTATTGGGTGCTAGTGACCTTTAAGACATCTAAAAGGATTTTTTTGCAAAACTAGAGTTACCGTGATGGAAGTGAGGCCTAAACGATGGGCTGAAGGACCTCCGTCAGTACTCATCAAATCAGGAAATGCACAGGGAACCCCAGTGCTCCTCTGAAAGTTTTGGGCAAGTGAGACAATCACAATTCGCCGCTTTGGTCGGTGTTGTGCGCGACGGCGCGCCGGCAAATGTTGATGATTCTAGGCCGTAAATGGCGACAGTATCGCTACAATATTA